CTCTTGATCATATGTTACCTCTTGAAACAGCTGAACATCAGCCATTTCCTTTAGGTACAGTGTATTCCTTCCATCTCCCTTCGATGCTTTCGGCATCATTCAATGAGTTGCCCAGAGAATCCTTCAGTACTGCAAGTCGAGGCTTGAATTTTTTTCTTCAGTTCCCCCAGCTTGAGAAATACTGAGTGTATTCTTGCCTTTTGGTTTTCTAACTCCAGGTCTTTGCACGTTTTGTTACAATATTTGACTTTGCACTCTCAAGCTGACCTCTGAAAATTTTTTTTCAGCTCGTATGCCTCCTTGCTTCTTCCATTTGCTTTAGCATCCCTATACTGGAGAGCAAGTTTCAGAGTCTCTTCTGACATCTATTTTGATCTTTTCCTTCTCTCTTGCCTTCTCAATGGCCTTTTGCTTTCTTCCTGTATGATGTTCTTGATGTCATCTTACAACTCTTCTGGTCTTCAGTCTTAAGTGTCTAATGTATCAAATCGGCTCTTCAGATGATCTCTAAATTCAGGTGGGATATATTCAAGGTAATATTTTGGTACTCATGGACTTGTTTTCATTTTCTTCAGCTTCAGCCTAAATTTGCATATGAGCAATTGATGGTCTGTTCCACAGTCTGCCCTTGTCCTTGTTTTGACTGATGATATGGAGCTTTTCCATCATCTCTTTCCAGAGATGTAATCAATTTGTATTCCATCTGGTTAGGTCCATGTATATAGTCATCTTTATACCTAAATACCTAAAAAGGTATTTCAATGAAGAATTCAAGTCTTGAAAACGATTTCCAGCATTGTTTCTACTTTGTTGTTGTTGTTGTTAGGTGCCATCGAGTTGGTACTGACTCATAGTGACCTTATGCACAGCAGAACAAAACACTGCCTGATCCTGGGCCAACCCCACTACTGTTGCCATGCTTGAGTCCATCGTGCTCCACATGGCCAATCCATCTCATTGGGGGTCAACTCTACTTTGAGCAGGCAGCTCTTCCTCAGTAGCATTTTGAGTGTCTTCCAACCTGAAGGACTCATTTCCGGCATTATATCTGACAGTGTTTCTCTGTTGTTCATAAGGTTTTCAGTGCCTAATATTCGGAAGTAGTCCATCACTCTTTCTTCCTAGTCTGTCTTCGTCTGGAAGCTCATCTGAAACCTGTCCACCATGGGTGACCCTGCTGGTATTTAAAATACTGGTGGCATAGCTTTCAAAATCATAGCAAGTCACAAGCTACCACAATACGACAAACTGACAGACGAGTGGTGGATTGTTTCTACTACGAAAGCCATATTTCCCAATTACTGATCCTTCCTCTTTGTTGCCAACCTTTGCATTCCAATCTCCAGTAATGAGTAACACATCTTGATTTCATGTTTGATCAGTTCCAGATTGAAGAAGTTAGTGGTGGTGGTGGTGTGCTGTGGAGTCAGTTCCGACTCATAGTGACCCTGTACAGGGTTTCCGAGATTGTAAATCTTTAAGGGAGCAGAAAGCCTCATCTTTCTGCCACAGAACAGCTGGTAGTTTCGAAATGCTGACCTTGAAGTTCACAGCCTGATTCATAACCACTATGCTACCAGAGCTCCTTAAAGAAGTTAGTATAATTCTTCAATTTCATTATCACTGGCTTTAGTGGTTGGTGCACACATTTGAATAATAGTTGTATTAACTGGTCTTCCTTGTAGGTGTATGGATATTATCCTATCACAGACAGCATAGTACCTCATGATTGCTCTTGATATGTTCTTTTTGATGATGAATGTAATGCCATTCCTCTTCAATTTGTCATTCCCGGCATAGTAAACTATATGATTATCAGATTCAAAATGACTAATACCAGTCCATTTCAGCTCACTAATGCCTAAGATATCAATGTTTATACGTCCCATTTCATTTTTGACAATTTCCAACTTTCCTAGATTCATACTTCGTACATTCCATTTCCTGGTTATTAATGGATGTTTATAGCTGTTTGTCTTCATTTTGAGTTGTGCCCATCAGTAAATGAAGGTCTCAAGGGCTTTACTCCATTCGCATCATCACGGTCAACTCTATTTTGAGGAGGCAGCTCTTCCTCAGTACCCTCCCCCCCTTTTTTTTTAAAACCAAAGGTCTCACATATTTATTAGCCAAATTTTAATATGGAACCATAAAAACAAAGGAAGAAACCAGAAGGCTTGCAAAACACGTTCAATTGATCAGATCGTGGCACCATTGAACTTGCTATGGTGGCGTGTTAGAACCTGGGTACATTATGTGCTGTGCCATCCCATGTGTGACTCCTTGGAGACCCAGCTTGTTCTTCCCCAGGGCCTTCTCTTGGAGTTGTACCTGATTTTATTACCAGTTTTCATTCGATTCCACTGGGGAATCGGATGACTCTGCTTTTGTTTCTTGGTGAGGAATCTCTTGATCCTGAAAGTCTTATCAGAAGACATAGTGAAGGTGAAATGTAGCAGCATTCACAGAAAGGAAGGAAAGAAGAAAGGAAGAGCCCTAGTTGCATTTTGAGTGCCTTCCAACCTGAGGTGCTCATTTTCTGGCACTATAGCTGATAATGTTCTGGTGCTCGTCATCATGATTACAATAGGAATTGCCAAACTGCCCCATAGAGTTTCTAAGACTGTAAATCTTTATGGAAGCAGACTGTCACATTTTTCTCCTGTACTGTAGCTAGTGGATTTGAACCGTTGAACTTTCAGTTAGCAGCTGAGTGATTAGGCAGCCACTGCACAGCCAGGGCTCTTCGAGTCCCACTAGAAGAACAACAAACTTCATGATGATTTCCAGTTGGTCACTTAGCAATAGGAAAGCTACCATACCTGGCATCAACACAAAACAAAGCAGCTCCCATCCAGGTGGAGCCTGGTGATAGACCCCCATGTTTTACGATGTTCATGTCTTTGTTTCTTTCCCTGACCTGCCAACTGTCTTCACTAATAATAGAGAGTTATTAGTCCCTGACCTAAACCCCAAAGAGAAAGGTATCTTAAGCCCGCTAGGATCCTTTTCACTCACTACTTGTCCCTTCCTGCAGGACACGAGCCTGACCAGATTTCCTCTGTGGCACCTGTGACTAACCTGGATGTGTCTGTCTTAGCCAGCAGAGTTACAGGACTTGGAAGATAAAGACCATGAACACCATTTGCATGCAGTCAAGCTTTATAAGCAGAAGGCTTATGAACAAATAAATTGCCTAATTTGTGAGCATGTGACATGGTCTACAAATGCAGGTTTACATGAATGCTCTGTTTCTTTATTCTTTGAAATGAAACTTCAGTATCTTTGAGCTTCCTTCCACTGGGCCAGCAGGACAGTGAGAAGTTCGGACCCACATGCCATGAACTGCCCTTTCCTAGAATGAGTGAGGGTATAGGGTGGTGCACTGTACAGAGCATTTAGAGCCCCTTCGAGATGGGTGGGTCAACAGCCTTATAGTTCCAACTGAGCCAATTACAATCATCCAGTCTACACTGATCCCAAAGGAGCCTGGGGCTTTTTGTCTTCACTTCTAACCAAGGGAAAGGACTTCTGATGAGGCTGAGAGATCCCAAGTCTAGAGTTCCGCCAACCCCTCTGGAGACATGTCACCAGAACCTATTCATGTCCTGATCACTGCCAGATTCACCCAGCTCTGGTCTCTCCCCGTTTTTGTTTTTTCCTAAAGAATCAACCAACTTCTCTCCTTCTATCTTCACTCTCTCTCTCTTACTGTCTTCAATAGTTTTTGTTTCTTCTCTTCCTCTCCTCCCTCCAGGATATGTATCACCATCCTGTCTATGAATCGAGGCTTTAAAAGAAGACTGGAGATATCTGTGATTTCCAGAATCCTTTGCTTTCTGTCTTTCAAATGTCCCTGAAGAAGAGAAATGTGAAGGACCCCAGCAATTGCTTGGAATGGAAAGAGGGTGAAAGGGAAATCAGAATGAGGTGGAATCTCAGGGAGGTGTGTGGGTGGACCATTTGGGAGAAGATGCTTCCTACAGAAGAAGGATCGAGGAACAGACACAACACAATGATTTTGGCAGGTGTCCCTGGGTTTACTTATCTATTACACTATCAAGACCCTTCCCAACCCAATCCTCTTCCCATTTTTAACTCTTTCATTCTTTGTTTCACTCTTATTTCCTGTTTCACATCAGAGTTCCCCACTTGTGAGTCACACACTCCAAAGGAAAACACCCCCCTCACACACACACACAACCACACCCCACCCCTGGCTCCCAGGGTAAACATGCAAACAAAATGTTAAGATCCACTAGAAACAGCTCAGATAGAAAATAGGCAAGAGCAGTTCTAAGGAAGCTCGTCTCTGGACACAGGAAGTTCCTAATTGCCAACTTGCAAAGCTAGACTAGCACCTAAGACCTGGGATACCTGGGGAAATGGCTATTTGATGATGTTGTTAAGTGCCTTCAAGTTTGTTCCCACTCATAGCGACTCTGTACAGGGTTTCTGAGGAGTGGCTGATAGGTTTGAACCACTGACCTTGTGATTGCTATCCTATAGCATCCCATCAGGGAGCTACTAACGGAGATATCATTTGGGAAGTTGAATGATGCTGCTATGAGTGTTAAAAACAAAAACTCAAGTCTTAATCCTTTCATCCTGACTCCCACTCAGGTAACTGACTCTGACAGCTAATCCTAGCTTTAGCATTAGCATTCTACTTTCTCATAAGAGGACTGTTAGCATGAGACACATTGCTAGTTTATACTTTGCTTAGTTTTCCTGCCTACCGGCTTCACAATTCAACGCTGTTAAAGCTACTTCAATTGTTCCTCGTGGTATAAGTTTTGAATCCCTCTCAGTCTTAGGCCAACACTACTCTGGTTTTCAATATTCTCCTTAGCATCTGAGTGCCCAAAGCTGAACAAAATCCAGATTAGACCAAAGGCATTCACCTTCCTCATCACAGGAACTATCTTTATAAACCTCCAGTACACGTGCAGAGATGCAACATACGAACACACACCACAGTGCCTTGCAAATTGTTGTTGTGTTATTCCAACATGGCGACCCCATGTGGTACAGAGTAGACATACTGCTCCACAGGGTTTGCTTGACTATCATCAGGACCTTCTTCTATGGTACTACTGGGTGGGTTTGATTATGAACCTTTAGGTTAGCAATTGGGTGCAAACTGTACCACCTAGGGACCTTTTAGATACACTGGGTTGGTTATGTGCCATGGAGTTAGTTCCTACTCATAGTGACCCTGTATAATGTTTCCAAGGGTGTAAATTTTTAGGGGAGCAGATAGCCTCATCTTTCTCCTGTGCAGCAGCTGGTAGTTTAGAACTGCTGACCTTGAGGTTAGCAGCCCAACTTATAACCACTATACTACCAGAGCTCCTTTTTAGATCTACTGAAAGGTAGCAATCAGCTAGCCTGGTGAGAAGAAGCATTCCATTTTGGAGTAGCCATCTCCCTTGAATTCACAATGAGTTTGTTCTTTGTCCTGGCTGTTCAGGTTTAAAAACCAGTTTTGAAGTCTGAATTGTTTTCAGGTCCCAAGGTTAAAAAAAGTCACCTATAGCTTTTCCCCACTCCTTCCCATCTACATGACAACACATGTGCATATGAGAGCATGTGAAATTCTGACAGACCTCATAAATAAAGCCCAGCACGTGAACTGTGGTCACAATGAAAATCAATCACTTCCCCAAGTCATTAGCCACAGTCTTCTGGGAGTTACATTGTCAGGAACGTGATGTGTTGTTCAGTGGTTACTTATCTCCATAAGTAACTCCATACTACTGCATGCATTATCAGCATTCCAAAAGTTAGCATAAGAAATGTTTGCTTGAAACTAAAAGTGAAAAAGAAAAGGAAGGAAGGAATCCAATCTCTCCTTCCTGCAATATCTTCAGCAATTAGTCACTTCCTGTGTTCAGATGTGTGTTTAATGAACCGCTCCCCCCGGCTTCCTTCTGGCTCCAGCACAATCTTAAACAACTGTCATTCTTAAATTACAAGTGGAAGGGTACTGTAACAGAGGTGAAGTGTGGGGATGGAGGCAGGGAGGCAACGAGAGGATAAGGAGGCAGAGGAATGGGGAGGGTTATCTAGTCACCTGTGAGCGGCACCTCCTTCCTTCACTTGAGTGACAACGATAGCGTGAGGTGAGCGCTTTGATCCTCGGCCTCCACTAACCTGAATTCCCAGCCCATCTGATTCTTTGAGCAGCTCCATCTTCCATATCCGACCAACTTCCTCCTTGGAAGAAAAAGCGAACACATGGTAAGGGACATGACATTGAGTGTGGAGCTGTCAGGTCAAACCAAATACTCATCATTGTCACCAGACATTTCTGTGGGCCGGACCAAAGCCTCTAGCTGGTGGTGTTGTTCAACAGAACTCTCTGCAATAATGGAACTCTTCTGTGTCTTCACCAACCAGTACAGAGCCACTAGCTACGTGTCAACCACCAGTCTACCAATCAGTCGTGCTGTGGTACCTTATGTGTTGCTGGGAGGCTAAAGCAATGCCATTGGCATTTCCAATACCAGCAGGACTACTCATGATGGATGGGTTTCAGTAGAGCTTCCAGACTAAGACTAGGAAGAAAGTCCTGGCAGTTTAGTCCCAAAATTAGTCCATGAAGAACATCGTCCCGATCATTTGTTTTGAAAACGTTATCAGGAGGGATCATGTTTGGTGACGCTGAGGGCCAGTGAGGGTGAAGAGGACCCTAGGTGAGATGAATTGACACAATGCTCAAAATGATGAGGCTGGGAATTATGAGGATAAAGCAGCACTGACATCATTTTGCTCCTTTGTGTATAAGGTTGCCATAGGTTGAGGCACACTCGACAACAGCTATCTGTCTATTGACCTAGTTTTCGAGCTAGCTAGTTACATGGGGTTATCGAGCATTTGAATTGTGGCCAAGTGGCCCTAATGAATTGAATTTTTATTTCACTTTGTTTGAATTTAACTTAAATAGCTACTAATAGCTAAGGAGCTCTGGTAGCGTAGTGGTTATGAATCGGGCTGTGAGCCTCAAGGTCAGCAGTTCGAAACTACCAGTGGTTCCGCGGGAGAAAGATGAGGCGATCTGCTCCTGTAAAGATTTACAGCCTCGGAAACCCTGTGCAGGGTCGCTATGAGTCGGAACCGACTCCACGACACACAACAACAACAACAACAATAGCTATGATAAGGAGCTCTGGCAATGTAGTGGTTACGAGTCAGGCTGCTAACCTCAAGGTCAGCAGTTCAAAACTACCAGCTGTTCTGCGGGAGAAAGAGAAGGCTTTCTGCTCCTGTAAAGATTTACAGCCTCAGAAACTCTATGCAGTCTCTACGAGTTGGAACTGACTCCATGGCATATAATCACCACCAGCACTGGCTATGATATTGGCTAGCACGGCAAGAATGAACATCTATTCAAATACTGATGTGTGTAAACATGAGCAAGGATTGAGTTCCTTTTACATATGCAGCTGGCTGCTTATTAACACAGGAAGATGAAAGACGAGCTGAGAGCCTAGTACCAGGAGACTTCACTAGTTTGCACCCAGCTCTGTCATCCACTAGTTCTGAGAGTCACTGGATGCACCAATGCTAACATCCTTACTTCTGTGGTAGGGATATTAGCGAACACTTCCAGGCTTGTAGTTAGGAATCAATGGGGTATCTATGAAAATACATAGCAGCAGAGCCACATTTGTGTGGAGAGGTAATCAAATATTGTTGTGTGCCATTAAGTCAGTTCAAACTCATAGTGATCCTATGTACAACACAACAAAACACTGTCCAGTTTTGTACCAATTCATATATTTACAGTATACATATTTTTACATTATATACATAGATATAGCATACATGTTTGCTACATATTAAATTCCATCTTAAATATACTTAAATATTTAAGTGAGATTTTTAGCAAAAGAAGTCAAAACAGAAAATTGGTGATTCTCTTAGTTATCGTAGACATTGGACACACATTCTTTAAATGCATTAAAAAAGCTTCATCTGCTATAAAAATCTATCCTTTATAAAAAGAGTCATGAAGGGCTCAGAATCTTCTGATTGCTGGTAGTCTTTCTGCTTTGCTTTATTCTCTACTTTACGTTGATTTTCACTCCATGGACACACACATGTATCTGCTGTAAACACTGAGTTCCTTGAGCTATTTCACTGTTTAGGGAAATGAAAGCAAAACATTCAAAAGCGATTTATTCTAGGGTCATCAGTGTACCCCCATAACTCTTTTTAGCTAGAAATAGAAGGGTGTGGGTAACAGCGTATCCTTCAACACATACAACAAGAGCCATCTGCTTTCTCTATCCATCACTCAAGGGCCAATGGGACAGTTCAGGTCCAACACCAGCAAAGAAATCATCCTCCTAGGAGTAGGCAACCTGCCCGTTCAAGCTGCTTGCAAAGGAGAAAGAATGTGAAACATTTAGAAAATCTGAAATGCACACTGTCAGAAACTGAAATGAAACTTTTGCAACCGTAAAAAAAGCAGATGTTGAATGCTTACTGATGTGCACTCATAGGAATGTCTGGGGGAATTATTTCCAGACAGAGACCTGTTGGATCCTCAGCTCTTTCTAGTAAGCGCTGCTCAGTGGGGCTCCGTGACTCCAGCAACACACAGTGCTACTAACCGCCTCCTTCATTCCTGACCACAGACAAACGAAGCCTGTCTGGCCAAATGTAACTTCAGAAGTCACTGGCTTACCACAGTAGTTCATGAACTTGTCAATGATCCCTATATCATCCAGTCCTCTCACTTTGGACTCCGTACTTTTTGGTTTGCTGCCTCTAACCTCTGGAACACCTTTCTCTTCCCCATTCTGAAACAGCCTCTCTGGTCTTCAGTCTCATGTAACAATACTACTTAGAATGAGGCCTCCTTGAGGTTCAGTACGGCCGCCCACATGGCAATGTGCAATACTCCAATTCGTGAAGCCATACGGCCAACTGGAATAGCATCAAAAAGAAGAAAACCTGAGAAGTGCTGATAAGCTGTTGTCCTAGCTTTCTGGGCATCTCATGTAAGCGAGAACCTTAGGCGGCCCCTGAGTGTGCGGCAGAAGCAAGATCAAGGCATCACTTTCTCAAGAGCAACAGGGACCACTTCTGAAGTCCAGCAATAAGAAAACACATTTCGCTTTAATTCAAATGAGTACAAATCCTATTCGCCCTCCACGATTAGTTTATAAGATCATTTTCTCTTTTCTATGCTCCTTTAACAAATAGAACATGCATGTATGACCCGCAGAAAAGGTGACAATACTAGACACATTGCTTTCTACTTTCTAAATACTTTCAGAAATAGGATTTGCGACAAGAACATGCTAAACTGTTCATGGAGGAGGAATACTGCTTAAATGAGTATTCCCTGATACAAGAGTTAAAGTAAATTTCCATCTAGAGTATCCACATACCTACTTCCAGACCCACCCACTGCTATTAAGTCAATTCTGACTCTGGTGACCCCTATAGAGGGTATCTGAGGGTATAAATCTTTATGGGAGTACAAAGCCTCATGTTTCTTCTACAGATTGGCTGGTGGGTTTCAACTGTTGACCTGTAGTTAGCAGTCCAGTGCTTATCCTAAAGCGCCACTGCGGCTCCTCAATACACACATACAACTAGTTAAAACCATACCAAAACATCTATCTAGCACAGATGGCTTCAGAGGGCAGCAATTACTTACCTGTAATAGAGTTCCCAAATTATGTTGTTGTTGTTAGTTGTCAATGAGTGCTTCGTAACTCACAGTGACCTTATGCGCAGCAGAACACAACACTGCCTGGTTTTGTTCCAACTATGTTGTTGTTGTTGTCAAGTGCCGTGGAGTCGGTTCCGACTCATAGTGACCCTGCACGGGATTTCCAAGGCTGTAAATCTTTATGGGAGCAGAACGCCTCATCTTTTTCTCGTGGAACCGCTGGTAGTTTCGAACTGCTGCTGACCTTGAGGTTGGCAGCCTGACTTGTAAACACTACGCTACCAGAACTCCTTCTATACTAATCAGAAAATAAGTCTTAGTCTTCATTTTTATCCAGTAACATGTTTTTGTTTGCTTGTTTATTTGTTTTTCATGGTTGCAAATAAGAATGCTAAGGGGAGAGTTCAAAGAAATAAATGGTATTTCTTAGCTATATAGTGAAAGTGTTTAGAAGAACTTAAAAGAAGCAAGAGGCCAAAGTTAATGGCATTAAGGATAGAATAATTGTCAGAAACTAGCCTGAAGTGACTAGAACAGAAGATACTTCTTGTAAGAAACACCAGCAGGAAAAATAAAAAACCAATAATGGCAGTCTGATTGACTACTACAAGAATAAGCAAGTTCTTCGGGTCCCCCTTCCAAGACTGAGGCTCAAGGGGAATACCTGAGCAGGCATGTGGTCTTGCTGGTGACCATGTTGGTCTACTAACAAGGGGAAGTGGGAGAAAAACAGCAATGAAGCTGTGAGCTAAGTTCAACCTTGTTCACTAGACTCCCGTCAACCTGGGTTGAGACCTGGTTGGCCAGCAGTGTGGTGAGACCCGGGGCCTCCTGGGCCCAGGGGCAGTGACATGGCCACAGAGGACTAGAGCAGAGAGTGAAGCAACCAGCTGAGATGAAGTGAGGGGAAATGTACAAGAACACCGATACTTGCAGATAGTATCTATTTGACCTGGCTTCAATGGTTGGATGATTAGCACTCTATTAGAGGAAGAAAGAAGAGAAAAAAAGAGTAATCTGTTACAGTTTGATGAACATGACCTATACTTATGGATGTAATAGCTCAAAAGAGGGAAGGAATCTTTACGGAGAGGATCATTCCCAACCCGTAGGTACACGAGGTTGACAGGGATGGGCAACTTAGACATTAGCTACCCAAAATGGGGGGACTACAAAGGAAAGAAGTGACTGGCTTACAAACTTTCAAGAGGAAGCCTAGTTTCAGAGGGTGCGGGGGAAGGTAGAATCTCCACTGAGTGGTTTGCAACCTGTCTGGACGGGGCTGGTAAAAGGAGATGGGGATAAGACTTGTGGTTTAACAGTGAATGATTGCTATCAGGACTGATTGTGAGTGCTGGAAATGTAAAGATGGACGTTTTATAATAAAAGGAGGGGAGTGGTTGACTTTGCTGTCCAGGAGTGGAGGACACTGGGACCATCAAGAGAGAAGAGTGGATTGCGTGACTCTATCCAGAGAAGCAGTGATGCCAGAAATGGAGGCAGAGGTGGTGACATGGAGAGATGGAGT